AGCCTTTGAAGATATCAGGGTTTTAATATATTACTAAAATAAATACTAACCAGTTATCAACAATTTGGGTTCATAATAGAATAAAAAAATAATTTATTATTAAAAGAATCAGTTTATTCGAAGGAACAGTTAAATTTAATCGGCTTTTGTAACCCGAGGTATTGATGAAATTGTAAATTTCTTCGTGAGAGTTTATGCATCACTAAGCAAGGTTTGTTTGTTTGTTTTGAATTTCGCGCAAAGCTACACGAGGGCTAGCCGTCCCTAATTTAGCAGTGAAAGACTAGAGGGAAGGCAGCTAGCCATCACCACCCACCGCCAACTCTTGGGCTACAATTTTTAATAACGAATAGTGGGATTGACCGTCACATTATAACGCCCTTACGGGCCGACTAAACAAGGACTTTATGCACATCGCAGTCCATAATTCTTAACTCATAAACTAGAGGGAAAGCAGACACTCAACAACACCCACAACTAACTCGGGTTATTTTTGTTTCGCGTTAAATTGGGATTTTTTAACGTCATTCTTATGGTACTCACATGGCCCCAAAAGGCGTTTTTAGAGCAGCGAACCATAAACTCCAAGTAACTGTACGAAATACATTTAGATTTGTTCAGCGTTTTGAAATCATTTGTCTCCCAATATTTTGTAAACTTAAAATAAAATATTTTATTATTTTTCAGAATTTCTAGTGCACGTTGAACGGGGTTTAAACATTATGACAATAAAGTTAGAAAAAAACAATTAACTTTAATTCCCAAAAAATAATAATTAAAAAATGCTGTTTATTTCAGTCAACATTGCTTTCACATCAAACATTTTTTGTATTAGTTGCCCCGATGAATCTATAATGTCGAAACGTTAACTGAAATAATAATAATAATATTATTATTATCTGGAAAGTAAAGATCTTTTTTTTTTTTTCTCTATATTTATTGTCAAAATGAAAGATATGAGATCATAGAATATAAATAATTTAAAAATTCAATTTCTCTCTTTAAACAAACCGTGAAATTTGGAAAATGTTTGTAAAAATATGTTTTTTAAAAAAAATGACGTTTCTTGTGGCATGGAAGGAAAATTTTAGATATAATGTAAAGGTAAAACTTGTATTTACTTATGAAACCTAGTTGGTCCATCAAACTACTGTCTATGAGTTCGTGAAAGATGGGAACGTTTCTTGTGTTTGATAAGAAAGATTACATCAGTGGACCAAACCCAAATCCAACTAACCAAACAATAGCGTACAAGGTCAACAAGATGACAGAACTGGTCTGGCAAATAATGAGACTTCGTTGTCTATTATACAAAGTTAAGCATTCATTGGCCATGTAATGAGTATTGAAACTAGCTTTACTAAAGTATATATTAACAATAATTCAGGAACAACCGCCCAAAAAAAAAAATACCTGTAGAACATGCGTTATCGGTTTCTATGTAATATGTTGATATGCATATTTCTTGTGAGTTCATGACTGACATTCTGGTCACTCTGTGAACTAGTCTTGCTGTGGATAAACTGTGGTCAACCCAGATTCTTTTAATTCTATGAACTGGTCACAGTGTGGACACTCTATAGACCAGCCCCATTTCGGTTCGTTTATAAATCACTAACACCTTGGGTCAAAGTGCATCAAACTTTTTAGTTCTATAGGTCGAACTTATTAGTCCATCGCAAAACATTGGCGGACTTCTAATGGTAAAATCCGGGTTTCGATACCTTTGGTGGGCACAGCTCAGATAACCCATTGTGTAGCTTTGTTCTTTGTTGTAAACAAAAGTAAAAAAAAAAACACAAAAGGCCATTATATCCGTGCTGCCATCTTGTGGTCGGGACTGTGAACATTAGTTTCAAATAATTCACGCACCAGTTGAAATTTTATTATTTCATATTCAAAAAATAGTAATATGCTTCTTTAAAACACGCTTTTTTAGATGAAAAAAAACCCGAACAACTTATACGTCAAAAAAAATCATTTATTAAATGAAATAGTCTCCATTCTTATCGATGGTGCTTTTCCATCTTACAATCACGTTGTTAATGCCCTGATTATAGATGTCACTTGGCTTTGAAGCAAAAAACATGTCGATGTCCTCTTTAACACCTTTTACATTTGCATACGTTTTCCCATTAAGGTGGTGTTGCAGCGAACGAAAAGATGGTAATCTGATGGTGCCATATCTGGAGAAT